AACAACACTGATTCAATAATTCACTCTCAATTGGGGCAGTGCGAAAAACAACTCGCACCGGCAGATCTGGAACTAGGGAGGCCCGCAAAGTGATCGCGCTGCGAGGATCAATGGCAACGATTAGATTGTTGTCGAGTCTTGTTTGTCGACACTGGAAAAAGAGCGCCAATTGTTTTTTTCCTGGCATATACCGGCTGCCATGCAGCTCCTGAAATTTCGCCACCAACAGACCCTAACAAACGAAGACGCAGGCAGAGGGCAAATTGGCACTTGATCAGATTTTCTCCTTCATCTTCAACGACCACGCACTTCTCCATCTGTGCCAAGAGCTACTCAACGCGAAACAAAGAATAGACGATGAATGACGTAGTGGTGCGAGTGCTGGTGCCACTGGACCCTAACGCTGCCTCATCATCATCGAAGGTCGCCAAGACTGCCGCGCCCGCAGGCTTCGAGGAAGTGCAGGAGACTCTGCCTGGCATCTTCAGCCTCAAGGTGCTCAAGCACAATCTGTGCAAGCGGCGCTACTGGAACGCAGACAACTACCGCCTCATCCTACGCACCTTCGAAGATGAAGTCCTACTCGAGGCCGCAGATGAAGATGTCGATGTAGATGACGACGTAGGGCGCAACAAGGGGGGCGGTCGAGGCCAGGCCCAGGCCCCGCTGGCCGACCGAAAAGAAGGCGCGGCCGGCGGCATCGGTGGTGGTATGAACAAGAAGGTCGAGCTGTGGACCTGGCTGCAGGACGAAGACACGAGCCTCATGGACATTCCTGGCATTGCTGGCGGCGGCGAGGTGTACCTGGAGGCGCGGCGGCCCGACGGCGGCTGGCCCACGGACCGGTTCGACCCGGTCAAGGCGGCCCTCGTCAAGGCCGAGCAGGCCCGGCGACGACAGGCCAACCAACAGCGACGCGCCAAGCAGCAGCCGGACATGAAGAAGGTCAACCTCTTCGCAGTCGTGGATGACGTCAGCACCACCACCAGCACCGGCGGTGGAGGTGGGCAACGGCAACAGGCCACGGAGAAGACTGAGGCAACGGGCCAGCAGCAGGCGGCGCCGAGCGGCTGGTCTGCGTTCCTCCAGCAGGGCAGAGAGTACGCGCGCGCTCGCTTGTTCCATTCCGCGCCAGGTGATGATGATGATGGTGACCTCACTCGCACATGCATGTCGGTGGACACACACACACACACACACACGACGCACAGTTTCCTGAGCGGCGCGCAAGGAGGAGGGTGGTACGACGACGAAGACGAATGGGAAAAGCCACAGCAGGCGAGCGGCTTCCCGGCCTTCTCAGCTCCGCCCGGCTATCAGGTACATGCAACGATTCTTCTTCTTCTTCTTCCGGTCCATCATCAGGTGATGGCCACGATGGTGGCTTCCTAACATTCCATGAGCGAACAGATGAGCGAGGAAGAACAGCTCCAAGCTGCGATGATGCTCTCCCGCGTGGCCGCCGACGAAGACGTACCATCTCCTCTCCTCCTTCGTCTCTGACATTGACCTAACGACACGACACACACGACACACACGACCCGACACGACACATGACACGACACACAGGCCGACAAGGAGCAGGATTTCGAGGGGCTGATGCTGAGCAAGGGCCTGCTGATCAAGAAGATCAGCGACGACGGCAACTGCCTGTTTGGCGCCGTGGCCGACCAGGCCTACGCCGACCCCGCCCTCCACGCCGAGCTCCGCAAACAGTGCCTTGACTACATGGTAGGCCCACAGCAGAGCCTACTCCCTCCTGACAAAAAAACGCAGTCGCCGCTCACTCGCCTCTGTGTGTGTGTTGTGTGTGGTGTGTTGCGCCACGTATAGGAGAAGGATCGGGACCACTTCTCGCAGTTCGTGACCGAGGACTTCGAGGCCTATGTGCTGCGCAAGCGGTGCCTGGGCGTCTACGCCAACAACCCGGAGATCCAGGCCCTCTCCGAGATGCTCGGCCGGCCCATCGAAGTCTATTCCTACGCCTCAGGTTAGCTGTCGTGTGTGTCGTGTGTGTCGTGTGTGTCGTGTGGTCCTAACTCACACCGCTGTGTTGACTGTAGAGCCGATGAACACATTCCAAGGGGCGGGTGGCGGCGGCGCTCGGCCCATTCGGATCAGCTACCACCGGGGCAACCACTACAACTCGCTGCGATCGCTCGACCCGACGACGGAGGAGGCGCCGCTGCCCGCACTCGCGCCATCGGGGGCAGCAGCGGCAACGACAGCGCCGCCGTCGCAGGCTACGCCAGCCGGCGAGGGCGAGAACGCGTGCTTCCTGTGCGGACAGCAGTGCGTCGACTACGAGGACCTCCAGATCCACATGTTCACCACGTGCGAAAAGAAGGACCTCCTATGAGCAAGTGCGGGGCCTATGTACAGCCAAAATGAATGAACAGATCGATGGTTTACGAACGCGGACACCACACACGCACACACACACACACCACCGATTGGGAGGGAGGTTGTATTATGCACACAAAAAGAGCCATGGCCTGGCTCACAACCTGAACACCTCACACGCTAGGCGATTGCACCACAGCATGAAATGACCATTCATATAGACTAGTTAGCTGGCAGCGTTGTTCTTGGCGTTTCTCTCCTCTTCGGCCTTCTTTCGCATCTGCTGCACGTAGGCCTCCTTCATCTTTTGTTCGTAGAAGGTCTGCATGACCGACAGCTGCTCCATGTCATTCCGTTTGGCCTCCAGCTGGCTCTGGCACGTGAACCTTGGTTGTACTCCCGATCAGTCGAGTTCGTGCGTGTGTGCGTGTGCTATGCGTGTGCGGTGTGTGTGTGTGTGTCGTGTGCGTACCACTTCATGACCGACCCGAGAGTGAAGACGCCCACGGCCAGCGGTCCGATGAAACTTGCCTACGGACGTGCACCAGACGTTTTCGCGTGAGCAAGAAAGAGGAGAGAAGTTGGAGGATGAGAGATGGATGAGAGAAGG